GCCCATCTTTAACATCCTATGACCAGTATAGTGCACTCTGTGTAATATTTTGTATTGTATTAATTGCAAACTGGGATTTCTGATCCATTGAAAGGTTTTTAAGCATATCTGAGACCAAAGGTTTGGGTCTACACCAGGCCAAGCTGGAGCCCCCAGTGTTCGCTGGTGACGGTGGAGTGTCACCGGAGGAGTGGCTCCAATCAGTGGATAGCTACAGATCGTCGCTGCGCCTAACCGACTCGCAGGTTCTGAGTGAGCTCCCTCACTTCCTCAAGGGAGAGCCCAGTAAATGGTTTAGGGCCCTCAGCTCTCACATTACTACATGGGCACATTTTTACCAACTTTTTGAATCAGTGTTTGTGTCAGCTGATAACCAAGAGCACGTTTGGCGGGGCATCCTCGATCGCGTCCAATCACTAGAGGAACCCCTCCCAACGTTTGTAGCTCACATGCTCAGTGAGTTTAATAAGCTAAGGTGCCCGCCGCCGGAGAATGAACAGATCGAGCTCATATGTAAACATTCATTGGAGAAATATCGGGTTGCGTTGTACGGTACGCAAGTCCCGTCAGTTATGGACCTACTACTTCGCGTGCACGAGCTCCACACAGCCTTAGGTCCAGTCGGCCGCTCAACCCCTACTTCATCCCCTAGTGTTGCAAGCGCGAGAGAACCACATTGTTTTAAATGCTCCCGCCCGGGGTTTACCACACGCACGTGCCCAAGTTGCACCTGGGTTGCCCCAAAAGAACGAGGTGCTGCCAGACCCAGGGCAACCTCCCACCGACCTCTCCCAGGCCCACCACCGGGCCTGGAACTGGCCGATGCTGAGGGGCTGGATTCACTGCCGGCAGCTCGTGCGGCCAGTCAGCAGTCGGGAAACCCCCGGGGGGGGAGGACATTTCAATGAGGCAGCCCTCCCCCCATTCGCAAAGTATGCCTCGCCCGCATGATGCCCACCAGATTGTGCAAGGCATTGTGGGGCACATGGAAGATGTAGAGTCTGGAGCACACTGGAACACTCCATTGAAAGCCAAAATTAACTTCAACTCGGTGGCAGTGAACGCTACGCTAGATACGGGGGCATCCCTGTCTGCTGTGCGGGCTGAACTCATTTTGGAGAACAACTTGTCTCCCAACAGGACCCACCAGTGGATGGGTCCACCGGTGAGCCTAGAAGACGGTGCTCGCTGTCTCCCGGAGGGTGTTACATGGCTGCCCATAGGGTTCTTGAACAAAAGGTTTTATCACCGGTTTGCTGTCATCCGCAACTTGTCATCCCCCTTTGACTTAGGGATGGACTTTATGAGCAGGGCCTCTTTGACAATCCACATCCCCTCAAGAACCGTAGCTATGGACGACAGTCCATGCACAGGCGCGGATGAAGAGGAGGGTTGCTCAGTTGATCTGTTGAGCGATGATAATGTCATTATGACGCTTGACATGGTAGAGCCCTCGCTGGAGACCAAAGCTCTGGAGGCAAACCTAACAGATAGTCAGAGAGAACTATTAGTTGTCCTCCTTGAACAATTTAGCTGCATGTTCTGTATTGTTTGCTTCAAGCACTAATTTTGTTTATTGACTGTACCAATGCTTAAGGTAAGGGTGTCTAACAATTCCTCCACAACCTGCTTAGTACCTAATGTAACTATGTATAGTGAAGAAAGGTAGCGGGAGGAGGGTCACCTGGGTCCGGCTGAGGACAGCCTGCGAATTGCTGGGGGGGTGATGTAACAAACCTTTTGGGTTATAGCACCACTAGGGGGGGTTGCCCAACTATTGTAGTAGCTATGGGGGTCTCCTAGTGGGTGTGTGAGTTGTTAGCGGCAGCCATTCCATGCTGCTCATGTTCCATGCTCCAAGAAAACACCTTACTTACTGTTGTGACAAGCTGGCGCTGGCGGTACCAATCCCCGCGTATGTAGGTTCGGACGAGTACAGCCGAGGAGACCTGGCTTATAAAGTGTAATGTTGCTGACGGCGAATAAAGGTCTGTTATTGGATTTAACCGACTGGCTCCGTGTTATCCGGCTAACCTCCACACCACATGCCCGCTGGACCGGCTAGCCGCTCCTTCCTCGCCAGACTGCTGTTACACTGATCTCCTCCATACCTGCTTCATGCCCTGGAGGACGGGGCTGTGGCTCCCCACACTCCCTAGCAGATCGTTACATGGAGAAACCTTTGGAATGCAAGCATGCTGATCCACACAGGTATGCACACAGGTGTACACACGGGTATTCACAGACGCGGACTACACCTTTCTTGGCTGCTGCCTCAAAGCACATTGTGCGCTGTCTATCTTGCGTGCTGCACAATATCGTTTATTATTTAGTATCTACTGATATCTACTGCTAGCTAGTTTATTGTGATGGTGCCGTTTTTTTTATTATGTTGCTCTTTGTTGTTTGCTTTCTCTTCTGTTTTTTTTCTCCATACAGGTGACCCAGGTGTTTTTTTTTCTTTCTTTCTTCCCCCCCTTCTCACCGTCTCTTCTCCCCTTTGGTTTTCTTTCTCTCCCTCTCTTTCTTTCATTCTTTCTCCCTGTCCTATCCCCCAGTCATGTCTGTCCCGTTTGTAGCAACTGAAAATAAAATAAATTCATAATTATAATAAAGGTCAATCAAATGGACCAATATGGCAAGGCCATGATGATCCACTTGGTAAAATAAATCCGCTTGGCATCTTTCTTGGCCTTAAGACAACAATTCTGATGGCTAAAGATCCAAACGGGACACACAAAAAAAAAAAATACGAATAATAATAAGATTATACTGATACACCCATAATATTATAATGGGTTAGTTCACAAACATGATGCTTAGACATCTGTGCATGACAAAAAGGCTCTTTATACCTGAGAGTCTCAAGGCTGCATTGGGGATCCTTCAGTTTAGCAGAAAGCAGTTTTGCTCCCAAGTCACCAGGACAATTGTAGGTCAGGTCCAGCTCCTTCAGGCTGAAGGGGTTGGCTGTGAGGGCTGAAGCCAGAGAAGTGCATCCTTTCTCACGTATCCAGCAGCTTGACAGACTACAAAAGGAAAAAACAGTAGGCAGAGAATAAATTGTATGTCAAAAAGGCCACAAAGCCTAAAAGCCCTTAAGTTAAAAAAAAAAACAAATAAAACAAAAACCCAACAATCCGATGGACCCTTATGAGCAAGCAAGCTCAGAGACATGCTGTTTATAGACAGTAGTTGTATATGCAGTTTTGACGTCTTCTCCTACATCATTGCTTATGTGGCGATATTGTCTGAGTGCTGATTCTTATTGTTCAGAAATACTGCAGCACCTCAAAGCGTGTGTAAATACAACTGTGAAATGAGATTGCAGCAGCGAGTGAAGAGACCGTTACACTGGGAGGATACAGGGTCACCTGAACCTGACTACATGCTTTATCTAAAAGGAAAGTGGCTAATTTACACCACTGAGCCCTGCCCTCAAAAAGTGACACAGATGTGAAGCTGGATACAAGAGCTTGGGAAAAATGACCATTTCATTGCATTAAATACGCGTCAGCTGATTGCGCTGCTCAGTACATCCAGCTAGACCAGGAAAAGTGTGACTCGAGGTTGTTGATCCAGTGAACCACCTGTCACTGGACTCAAACAGGCCGTCCTCCACATAGTCATCATTCATAAAATGCTTTACAAACCCGAACATTACGGCTAACAGCTGGATTTTCCTGTTTCAGTGCCGCTAGCTAAATATTGAAGAACCACTAATTGCTTAAATGACAGACAGTGAAAGTGGACAGTATATCCTTGGTTTCTTAACACAAAGCTCATTGTTGCAGCCAGGGACAGCAGAAAAGTGTACCCTTTGATTTTGTTTTAGTGTCCTTATTTTTCTCTGAGTTACTGGTTCTGTTACTAATTAGCTAACATAAACTAATGTAAGCTGAAACCAACCAACCCACTAAACTTGTTCTAAGAACTTAAAGCACTTATTTCTTAAATCCAGCTTCACAGACAGTGTTACATTTGTGTCAGTTTTTGGAACAGAGCTCTATGATGTCAATTAGCCTTTGTAACTGTTATGTGTCACAGCTGAAGGCTCCGCCTACTTTTAAATACCGTAGGAACCGTGTAAGCCAGGAGTCTGAAAGCAGCATTTTGGATCAGCTGAAGACTTTTTCAGGGAGTTTTTAGGAAATCCTGATAATAATGAATTAGTTCAGTCTAGAAGTAAGGGGTGGCTGTAGCTCAGGTGGCAGAGCAGGTCAGCCACTAATCAGAAGATCGGTGGTTCGATCCCAGGCTGCCTCCTGGCTGCATGCCAAATATCCTTGGGCAAGATACTAACCCCGTGTTTGCCTACTGGTGGTGGTCAGAGGGCCCGGTGGCGCCAGTGTCCGGCGGCCTCGCTTCTGTCACTGCGCCCCAGGGCAGCTGTGGCTACAATGTAGCTGCCATCACCTGTGTGTGAATATGAGTGTGAATGGGTGAATGACTGAATGTAGTGTGAAGCGCTTTGGGGTCCTTAGGGACTAGAAAAGCGCTATACAAATGCAGGCCATTTACCATTTAATAAATATATGCAGCAAGGATGTAAAACTATTAACAAATAATCAACTTCGGTGTGAGTAGAATTTATGTAGCTACTCTGCACTGTTTGCACATGACATTGGCAATAACAATACTTATAGCAGATGATGTGATCCTGTTCTGCACTAATTTAAACAAATCAATACCATCCATATTAAGTCTCATTAATACATTTAGCACATTTTCGGGTTATAAAATAAATTTTGATAAATCTGAAATATTATTTTTGAATAAAAATGAAACGACAAAATCCTCCAATCAATACTCCCTTTCTGCTATCTGAACATGGGTTTACTTATCTGGGTGTGAAATTAACCCCCTCAATTGAAAATATTCTGGCATCCAATTATAATTCCTTAACGACGTCAGTTACTGCACTTCTAAACAGATGGATGAAACTACCCATATCTTTAATTGGTCGTATTAATATACTAAAAATGTCAATTTTGCCAAAATATCTTTACCTTTTTCAATCAATACCACCAAACTCTTTCTTCTTAGATTTGCAAAAACTATTCCGAAACTTTATTTGGAACAACAGAAGACCAAGACTCAGAATCTCATTATTATACCTTCCTTATGAAAGAGGGGGTTTACAGCTTCCAAATTTAAAGTGGTGCTTCTGCTCAAATCAGAGCGGCAATGTTTTATTTTGTTAATGAGCAAACTCCAGTGTGGGTTTCTATGGAGTCTACAGAAATCAAAATTTCCCCTACCTTATCTTTACTCAGCCGACAGGAAGACACTAAATAAGCAAACTAAGAACCCCTTTTTAAAAAAACAGTATAATGATCTGGTTTGAAATACATAACTACTTGGGAGAAATGATACAGCTGTCTAGGTTTATTTTAATTCAAACATCCCAGACACCTGTATTAAGTGTGGAGTGGACAGGCACTTTATTTCACTGTATATGGGAGTGTCCACATGTGAAAATCTTTTGGGGAAAGGTAATAAATGTGTTGAGTCAACTTATTGGTGATGTGATTCCACTTCATCCTAAAATATGTATTTTAAATATATACCCGAATAATTTTGTACCTGCTGCAAACAACAGAGCTCTGTTAACGACTGGACTTTTGGAAGCCAAGCGCTGTGTTGCTATGTGTTGGAAAAATCAAAAAATATGTGGACTATCTCAGTGGCTTAATGGACTGACATCTATACTATCTATGGAGAAAATAACTTATGCATTAAGAAATAAACTGGACAAGTTTTGGGCTTTATGGTCAAAATTCTACAACTTTCTGGAGAACTGCAACGTGCACGCTGTGGACTTAACAGCCTGAAACTCTGACTCGATTTATATATCTGCCCTTCCCTTTTGTTATGGTTTGCTTTGTTTTTGTTTCTATTACTATGTTGTTTCTGTTGTTGTTGTGGTTTTGTTTTTATTTATGTATTTATTTATTTTTTACTTTTTTTTTAATGCTCACGGTGCACCATGTAAAACCGGTTGAAACCAATAAATAAATGTTTAAAAAAAATAAATACTTCTAGTGTTTTCAGAAAGACATCTACTGTAATGAAACGTATTCCCACTGCTGTGAAATCCATTTTTGTAAATGTCATCAAGAAATGACAGCTTGCTGTCTGCTAATCAGGTTGTGAAGACCTAAGCAACTAAACATTTAAGATAAGTATGCCAGTGCATAGAACACAGCTAACTTGTCTGATTTAAGGATTCCTTACCTGAGAGATTTTATTTGACAGTCAGGACTTCGTAGTTCAGCTGAAAGCCTCATCGCTCCTGAATCCAGCAATTTATTGGCACTTAAATTAACCACTTTCAGATGACACTCCTTGGAGCTGAGAAGTGAACCCAGAAATTCACAGCTTTTCTCTGTCAGCCCACAGAACCCCAGGCTGGGGGGGGGGAGAGTATGTTAATTACTGATTAAGCCACACAAAAAGAAAGTGGGGATGATAGAAAAGGATCAGCGTGCAATATTACAGTTAGAACTCTGACCTCAGAGTTTCCAGTCTACAGGATCGACTCTGTAGACCAACACAGAGCTGCTTGACTCCTGAATCCAACAGACTATTGTGGCTCATATCCAGTTCTCTCAGGCTGGAAGGCTGATTGCTGAAAACTGAAGCCAGAAAACCACAACTTCCCGATGATAGAAAACAGAAAGACAACCTGAAAGTGTAAAAATGAAGAAATGATCAACTGGATTTTAAAAAAATCTTTTGGTTAGTTTAAATCAAGCAGTGTAATCTTAGTTTTCTAGGACCGATCACTTACAGCACCTCCAATACATAATGCTGTATTTCTTCATAGCCTCTTTTCTTTTGGCAAGTACTGATTGGACTGTGCTCATTGAAAGATTGTGGCTGCATGGTTGGAGTACAGGGATGATTTTAGGTGGAAAATTAGGTCTAAATAACAACTATGTTTACATTGCTAAAACAAACCAACTCAGATGTTGAAAGAGACGACTCTGGCACTTCCTGTAGATTGCGGTACAATAAAAATAGTTAAAGCAAAAGACATAAAATAGGATAAAGTTAGAATGATAATAAAAACAATAGTTACAGACTCATACTGATTTAAAAGCAAGAGAATAAAAATAGGTCTTTAGATGGGTTTTGAAAGTCTCCAGGAGGTCCTGATGTGCAGAGGCAAAGTGTTCCACAATTTAGGAGCAGCCGCCACAAATGCCCGATCTGCTCAGAGTTTTAATCTGGACCTTGGGACAACTGGTAGCATTTGGTCCGCAGACCTCAAAGATCTTGCAGGAATATACCAGGTTAGAAGATCAGAAAGATATGCAGGAGCTAGTCCATGCAGCGTCTTAAAAACAAGTGTTAAAATCTTAAAATCAATTTGAAAACTGACTGGCAGCCAGTGTAATGATGCAAGTATGGGAGATATGTGATCTCGCTTGTGTGTGCCAGTTAGGAGCCCCGCTGCAGTGTTTTGGACCAGCTGCAGTCAGCCAGTAGATGACGAGGTAACACAGGAATAGAGGCTATTACAGAAGTCGAGGTGAGATGAAGCCATGGATCGCTTTCTCAAAATCTCTGAAGCAGAGAAAAGGCATCTCCGCCTCCTTTTGCAAGGAGGCGGAGATGAAAGAAGGTAGCTTTGATTACATTGTTCATCTGTTTATCAAAGATTAAATTGCTATCAAAGATCACTCATAAATTTCTTGCAAATGATTTTCTGTTGTTTTCTAAGAGGCTAAGGTCATAATGGTCACAATGACCTCAGCTTTCAGCCAACAGTTGATTCTTTGGTCTTTGCCACATTGAGCTGCAGATGATTCTGCTCACACACAGTCGACCACAGCCTGGTACTCTGTCTCATCACCGTCACTGATGCATCCAACCACCGCAGAGTCGGCAGAAAACCTCTGAAGACGGAGGTCTCTGTGCAGTGGCTGAAGTCTGTGGTGTAGAATGAAGAGGGAGGGGACGAGGACGGCCCCTTGTGGTGCCCCTGTGTTGCTGATCCTCTAGTCAGACACAAAATGTTGAAGATGCACATACTGTGGTCTTCCTGTCAGGTAATCCAGGGCATGAGAGAGGATCCACCTGCAGCCTCGATGTCCACCTTTGTTGTGGCCTTCGTGTGAAATACTAATTACATCACAGGACGCTCAGCTGCCACAACCCCACGCACATTAGATGGTATTCAATTATAATAGAAAACGAGTCATTTAATGAGTCACTTTAACAGAGCTATGTGTTTTTAAAGTAATGTTACACTTTTTAAAATGGCATACCACAAATAATATTAATAATATCAAATAATGTTTACAACACCAGTGTCCCTCACGCTTCTCTTGCTGTATTAGATTGATGTACAAAATAATATTATTATAAATAATGTTTTTAAAATATATTTTGATAAAAATAACAATAAATTGAAAGTGACATTATTACTGCTTCTCTCTGATGACACTGCAGTTGGCACTGCCCGTGATAAATCATAGTTACTTCAGTATTTTTTACTCAGATTATGTAATTTTGATTAAAGTTTTTGCTTTTTTGTTAAGCAAAAGCTGTGTTCCCATCTCATCACAATGTAGTCACAGTCTGAACCATATACTATTCTCACATCTGCTTTCTAGGTTCATATTATGTGGAGCACTAACACCAGCCTTTTCTGTCAAGCTCTCGGGGATCTACAGAACCACTGCAGATGATTGTAATTTTGTTTCTTCTTATAGTGACTCAGAGGCTGAGAGGGTTAGGAGGCTAAAACTAACCCAAATTGTTGAGTTTTTCAATTTATTATTGTAGTATCTTGTCTCTACAATATAAAGTGCCTTGACACAATTGTTGTTGTAATTTGACACTATAGAAATAAATTTAATTGAATTTTTTTCATGTTATTTTATGTTACCTTTGTAGCCCTGACTATGTAAATAGGTCATTATTAAAATAGTTCATTTATATTGATAGTTAAATGCAAATGTTCACTGTGTTCAATAATGTGTACAAATGCCTGTAAGGTGTGTGATGTGTGTCAGTTAAATGCACAACTTTTTTATTTGTATTTTGAGGTTTATGTCATTATTTTTGATATGGTATTGATATGTACTGCAGCTCCAGTGAACCCTGAAGTAGTCTCAGGCAGAGGAGGTGGGAGTAAGTGGGGAGCCGTGTGCACTCGGCAGGAGGTGAGAGAGACGAGAGATGGACAGCAGTGTCGAGTGGACGCGGAGTTTATAGAAGGGCGACGTATTTTCAGGTTGACGGATAGTTAGCTGGAGTGGAAATCTGTTGTACCCTACTGTGAGTAGGAGGAGACGGACGTCTTGCTGGCGTGTCAGAGAGGTCCCTTCTGCTGCTGTGATGAAGCTATGTGTTCACGTGGGAGCACGTGGAGACCACTGTGAGTGCTGCTGGTGGCCTTGACCCAGTTTCCCCGCTATCCCCTTGAACTGCCTGGAGGTGTGAGTACTGTTGTTTCCCAAAGGTGGAAAGTAACGAATTACATTTACTTGCGTTACTGTAATTGAGTAGTTTTTTTGTGTATTTGTACTTTTTAAAGTCGTTTTTCAAGTCGGTAATTTTACTTTTACTTAAGTATATTTTTTAAAAAGTATTGTACTTTGCTACATTTTCAATCACACCCGTTACAGAGTAAATTAAAAGAACAAACAAAAAAACCCCAACATTGCACTTGGAAATACTGCAGGGAATGATGGGTAGTAGAACAAATTGGCGCTAAGGTCACATTAAAGATGGAGTCTGACATCGGTGGTACGGATCCAGCGAAAACAGAAACCCCGTCGAATTCTGCTGACCCTGAACTCGAGGAAACCGATGTGAACCCCTGGCCGTATTTAAGGGACCATTTCAGCTTCAAGTGCAAGAAAGGCAACAGCTTTATTATGCAGTGTAAGCTGTGTTTGCCCAGAGAGACCGAGTTAGCAGCTTTTAAAAATTCCACATCAAACCTGCGCAAGCATGTAGAGGTAAGTTAGATGAAACCTGTACATTTATTTTAGCAAAAAGGCTGTGCTCAAGCTAATCACATTAAGTTAAGACAAACTGTTATTGGGCACGTTGCTGTCCACGCAACTTACATTTTTTTTCTTACTGGATCGGTAAATTGCCAAAAGAAAATGTGTTTACTTACATTTTTCCTGTTTGTTAATAATAATAATTTATTAAAAAATAGTTAAACTAGACAGAAGACAGAAGCGGCTACTTTCTTACTTAACCCACAGATGTTCACACTGCAGGCAAAAGAATAACATGTGCTATGTGCTGAGGTGGGTTTTTTTCTGTTCTCAACCTGATCTCCCTGTTGGAGCTCAGTCTGGGGGGAGTTATTTTTTTCTCCTTATCTTTCCTCATGTGGTGCATTTTCCATTGTTATACCTCTCTGACCTGTCTTCCCCATGTGATGTTTGTGTAATGTATGTGTGGTCGGAGGGTAAGATGACGCTGGCAAAGGTCAGCAGCCTTAACCCAATTTCCTTCGGGGTCAACCTTCAGGATCAATAAAGTTTTATTGAATTGAATTGCTCCTCAAAATTAACAGAGCAGGGCCAAGTTTAAAAAAATTAAAACACATTTTTATAGCAGCTGCCGTACAGCTCAATTCAGTACTTGTTCTCTTATTTGACAGTTTAGAAAACATTCTCATGTAAAAGAATTATATGGTTTTGACAGTTTGGTTGGTTGGTTTGGTGACCATTATCCATTGCAGTTTAACTGCCACTACACTTTAATTTGTAAAGTTTTTCTTTTAATTAAAAAACAACTACTTTGAGATTTATCCCATTGTCTTTTTTGCACTACTCAGAAGAGGCTGTCCTCCTGCTGACAAAAAAGTAACTAAAAAGTTACTCTGAGTACATTTTAAATGAGCTACTTTTTACTTTTACTTAAGTAAATTTTTAGACAGGTAATTTTACTTGTACTTGAGTAACATTTCAGCAAAGTAATAGTACTTTTACTTGAGTAAAATATTTTAGTACTCTTTCCACCTCTGTTGTTTGCACGTGCTTTTTATTTTACTGCTTGGCAACAAGTGAAGCGACCACATTGTTGTAGGTCCCACGTGTGGGCGGGCCCACAATATTATTTGATTATTTTGTTTCTGTTGAGGTAGATACCTCCCCATTGTTTAACAAACTTTATTAATTTTACTTATTTTCTTTTGTGTTGTTGTTAATTAATCATTCACTAAAGTGGAGTTAACTTTATAATTGACCTGCTTGTGTGAGATTTATTTCCATATAGTGTCGTTTTATTGCACATTTTATACCATAAGCATTAAAAAGGGAGTATGATTAGGAAAGTAACAACAAGAACCCAGGGCCCCCTCAATAGAACGTGGGACGGGTGTTACGCCTTTATTTATTTTTTTGTTTGTTCCTTTTCTTTGCACTTACTATTTGCTCTCTCACAAATACTCACTGCTGGATTTACAGGCATTATATAACATACACACTCACTTCCAATATTTAAATATTACCATTGTCTGTAATGTTCTATGTATGTAATGTCTGAGAGAGAGAGCATATTCAAGAGTCTTGATGAGCAATGAAACTCCCTCTATGTAAAATACATCATACCTGAGAATCTGGAGTTTACACTGTGGACTGGACAAGCCAACAGAAAGCAGCTTCACCCCTGAATCCTCCAGCAGATTGTAATTCAGGGACAGAGTTCTCAGACTGGAGGACTGGGTGCTGAGGACTGATGAGAGTATCTGGCAGGATGCATTTGTGAGGCAGTTTCTTTCCAACCTAGATTTTAAAAGAAACACTTTTGTTTTGATTCAGATGTTTAACCCCAAAAACAAAACAATGGAATTCTAAGATATACCACTGATCACAAAACCTGTTTATATCCAGACGGCATTTTGCTGTTCATATTCATCACGTCATAAAACATTCAAGCTTGTCAAAAAAAACCACTTGTAAAATGTCCTACTATTCCATAAACTGGATCAACAGTACATCCATTACACATCCAAAGCATAGGCTGTACAGTTCATAAACTTCTTATCCCTATGTGGACGACTTACAACACTTACCATCAATTCTCAATTTAGTTTGATTTATATAGCATCAAATCCCAACAACAGTTGCCTTAAGCCACTTTATATTGTAAAGCAAAGATCCTACAATAATACAAAAAAAAAAAAACCCAAACAAACAAGAAAACCCATCCATCCATCTTCATCCGCTTTATCCGAGGCCGGGTCGCGGGGGCAGCAGCCTAAGCAAAAAGGCCCAGACCTCCCTCTCCCCAGCCACCTCCTCCAGCTTATCCGGGGGAACACCAAGGCGTTCCCAGGCCAGCCGAGAGATATAATCTCTCCAGCGTGTCCTGGGTCTGCCCCGGGGCCTCCTCCCGGTGGGACATGCCTGGAACACCTCACCCAGGAGGCGCCCAGGGGGCATCCTTGTCAGATGCCCGAACCACCTCAGCTGGCTCCTTTCGATGTGGAGCAGCAGCTGCTCTACTCTGAGCCCCTCCCGGATGGCCGAACTTCTCACCCTATCTCTAAGGGAGAGGCCAGCCACCCTTCGGAGGAAGCTCATTTCTGCCGCTTGTATCCGCGATCTCGTTCTTTCGGTCACTACCCACAGCTCGTGGCCATAGGTGAGGGTAGGGACGTAGATCGACCGGTAAATTGAGAGCTTCGCTTTTACACTCAGCTCCCTCTTCACCACGACGGACCGGTGCAGCGTCCGCATTACTGCAGCGCAGCCCCAATCCGTCTGTCGATCTCCGGCTCCCTTCTCCCATCACTCGCGAACAAGACCCCGAGATACTTGAACTCCTCCACTTGGGGCAGGAACTCATCCCCGACCCGGAGTGGGCACTCCACCCTTTTCCGGCTGAGAACCATGGCCTCAGATTTGGAGGTGCTGATCCTCATTCCCGCTGCTTCACACTCGGCTGCGAACCGTTCCAGTGCGAGCTGGAGGCCCTCACCCGATGAAGCCAACAGAACCACATCATCTGCAAAAATCAGAGATGAGATTCTGAGGCCACCAAAGCGAAAGCCCTCCGCCACTTGGCTGCGCCTAGAAATCCTGTCCATAAAAATTATGAACAGAACCGGAGACAAAGGGCAGCCCTGGCGGAGCCCATCACCCACCGGGAACGAGTCCGACTTATTGCCGGCAATGCGAACCAAGCTCTTGCAACGGTTGTATAGGGATCGAATGGCCCGTAGCAATGGGCCAGACACCCCATATTCCCGCAACACCTCCCACAGGACACCCCGAGGGACACGGTCGAATGCCTTCTCCAAGTCCACAAAACACATGTAGACTGGTTGGGCAAACTCCCATGCACCCTCAAGTATCCTCGAGAGGATAAAGAGCTGGTCCAGTGTTCCGCGACCAGGACGAAAACCGCATTGTTCCTCCTGTATCCGAGGTTCGACTAGCGGACGAACTCTCCTTTCCAGCACCCTGGCATAGACTTTCCCAGGGAGGCTGAGGAGTGTGATCCCCCTGTAGTTGGAACACACCCTCCGGTCCCCCTTCTTAAAGATGGGGACCACCACCCCGGTCTGCCAGTCCACAGGTACTGCCCCTGATCTCCACGCAACATTGCAGAGGCGTGTCAACCAGGACAGCCCTACAACGTCCAGAGCCTTCAGGAACTCGGGGCGGACCTCATCAACACCAGGGGCTCTGCCACCAAGGAGTTGTTTAACTGCCTCAGTGACCTCGCCCCCGGAAATTGGCGGGTCATTCCCCTCATCCCCAGACTCTGCTTCCTCCTCGGAAGACGTGTCAGTGGGATTAAGGAGGTCCTCGAAGTATTCCTTCCACCGCCTGACAATTTTCTCAGTCGACGTCAGCAGCGCTCCGCCAGCACTATACACAGTGCAGGTAGAGCACCGCTTTCCCCTCCTGAGACGTCTGACGGTTCAGCCACTGCCCGAGCCGCATTCTGCTTGGCCTGTCGATACCTGTCGGCTGCCTCCGGAGTCCCACAGGCTAACCAAGCCCGATAGGACTCCTTCTTCAGCTAGTGGCTCCCTTCACCTCTGGTGTCCACCATTTGGTTCGGGGATTACCACCATGGCAGGCACCAACCACCTTGCGGCTGCAGCTCAATGCAGCAACTTCGGCAATGGAGACGCTGAACATGGTCCATTCAGACTCAATGTCCCCAGTCTCCCTCGGAATGCTGTTGAAGCTCTGCCGGAGGTGTGCGTTGAAGATCTCGCGGACTGGGGCCTCTGCTAGACGTTCCCAGCACACCCACACTACACGTTTAGGTGCACCGGGTCTGTCCAGCGTCCTCCCCCGCCACCTGATCCAACTCACCACCAGGTGGTGATCAGTTGACAGCTCAGCCCCTCTCTTTACCCGAGTATCCAGAACATCCAGAACAGAAGCCTAATCTTGAAAGTAGAGATAGTGTCTGTCTCCCGAATCCAAACTGGAAGCTGGTTCCACAGAAGAGGGACCTGAAAACTGAAGCCTCCCATTCTACTTTTAAATACTCTAGGAACAACAAGTGATATTCTGAGTTTGGGATTACACTGTGCAAGGAACATTACATTGGACTATCACCACTTCTACGGCTTTCCGGAGGAAATAATAAGAACTCAGGAAACACAGGAAAGATGGTGCTGGGTGTGTTGGCATGCTGTTTCTCGGTTCTAAAATGTTTATGTATTGTATTCATAGTGGTGTCCCTGCTAGCTTTGAAAGCCCACTCCCATCCGTGACTCACTACTGATGCTCCCCTGCGTTAGCCAGTGATTTAAAAGACTCCCGCCACCAATGGCACGGTACAGGAGAAACTGCATCAGTGTGATCCACCCTGTGCCTGCCACCCACACTCGACCCGCTCCAGTTTCCATACAGAGCTAACAGATCAACAGAAGATGCCATTGTTACAACGCTCCACACCACCTCTCTCACTTTAGCTGTGCTTTCAATACAATACTCCCGGACAGACCAATAATAAAACTGCTGGATATTGAACTTCCTTCAACTACCTGCTGCTGGATCAGAGACTTCCTGTCAGACCGTGTACAGAGAGTTAGAGTGGGGCCTCATCTTTCCCCAGCTTTAACAGCAACTCTCCACAAGACTGTGTGCTAAGTCCCCTACTGTACACTCTGTACACACATGACTGTGTCAGTACCCACCCAGACAACGCAACAACGCAGTGATTACGTTTGCAGATGATACCACCATAGTGGGGCTCATCTTTGGGGAAGACGAGACGGCGTACAGAGCTATATATGTGTACACACACACACACACACACACACACACACACACACACACACACACACACACACACACACACACACACACACACACACAGCAATGTAAAATTTATCTAACCCGAGAACTTGGAGTTTACACTGTGGACTGGACAAGCCATCAGAAAGCAGCTTCACTGCTGAATTCTGCAGCTTGTTATAATTCAGGGACAGAGTTCTCAGACTGGACTGGGTGCTGAGGAGTGATGAGAGATCCTGACAGCATGCGCTTGTGAGGCTGTTTTGGTCCAACCTAGATGTTAAAAGAAACAAATTTGGTTTTATTTAAGAAACTGAAATTGAAATAAAAGTCTTCCTTACAATAAAATAAACAAACACCTGAGAGTTTTCAGTTGACAGTTTGGATTCTGCAGTCCAGCACAGAGTGAGATCACTCCTGAATCTTGGAGGTTGTTGTTACTAAGGTCTAGTTCAACCAAATTACACAATGGGGAGTTAAAAACGTTTGCCAGAAATAAGCAGCTTCTGTCTGTCAGTTTACAGTCACTTAGTCTGGGGAGAAAAAACAGAAAGTTACAAATATTACAAATGGAAGTAATTTATGGTGTTTTTTTCTTTCATGCTTCTATATATTGTTATTTATAAAAATCAACCTACAGAGCTGTGCTGGAGGTTTTGACCACTGGCAGCAGCCTCAGAAGAGCCTCCTCTGAAGCAGAGTATTTCTTTAGGTCAAACACATCCAAATTTTCTTCAGATGACAGTAGGATGAAGACTAGTGCTGACCAGTGAGCAGGTGTTAGTTCATTTGTGGAGAGTTTTCCTGACCTCAGTGATTTTTGAATTTCCTCCACTAGAGAACTGTCATTCAGTTCACTCAGACAGTAAAACAGATTGATGCTTCTCTGTGAAGAGACTTTTGTTATCATCTTTTTGATGTATTGGATTGTTTTCTGTTTAGGTTTTGAGCAACTGTCTTGCTGCCTTGGCAAACCTTGCAGGAGACTCTGGTTGGTTTCCAGTGAAAGACCCAAGAGGAAACGGAGGAAGAGATCTAGGTGTCCATTTGGGCTCTGCAAGGCTTTGTCCACAGCAGTCTGGTAAAACTTTGTAGCTGCGTTGTCCTTAAATAACAGTTCGGACAACTTGGATTTAGATTGTGCATCAGAAAGCAGATTGACTCCAGAGTTGAAGGTCAGATGGACATGAAGAGCAGCCAGAAACTCCTGAACGCTCAGATGGACGAAGCAGAACAACTTTTCCTGATACAGTCCTCTCTCCTCTTTAAAGATCTGTGTGAACACTCCTGAGTACACTGAGGCTGCTCTGATATCGATGCCACACTCTGTCAGGTCTGATTCATAGAAGATCAGGTTTCCTTTCTGAAGCTGATCAAAAGCCAGTTTTCCCAGAGACTCTGTCATCTTTCTCCAGTATTGATATGTCTCAGCTCCTCCATCATACTTGACCTTCTTCACTTTGGCCTGAACCACCAGGAAGTGGATGTACATCTCAGTCAGGGTCTTGGGCAGCTGTCCTCCCTCTCTGGTTTTCAGCACATCCTCCAGAACTGTAGCAGTGATCCAGCAGAAGACTGGGATGTGGCACATGATGTGGAGGCTTCGCGATGTCTGGATATTGCTGATGACAATGCTAGCCTGTCGCTCATCTCTGAATCTCTTCCTGAAATACTCCTCCTTCTGTGGATCAGAAAACCCTCTGACCTCCGTCACCATGTGCACATACTCAGGAGGGATCTGATTGGCTGCTGCAGGTCGTGTGGTTATCCAGAGGCGAGCGGAGGGAAGGAGTTTACCACTGATGAGGTTTGTCAGCAGCACATCCAGTGAAGTCGACTTTCTGACATTAGTCAAGGTTTTATTTTTTTCGAAGTCCAGAGGAAGGCGGCACTCATCCAGACCATCAAAGATGAACACAACTTAGGGCTTGTTATAGTTGTAGGTTTCTCCTTTTGTTTCAGAAAAGAAGTGATGAAGAAGTTTCTTCAAGCTGAACTTTTTCTCTTTCAGCACATTCAGCTCTCTGAAAGTAAATGGAAATATAAACTGAATGTCCTGATTGGCTTTGTCTTCAGCCCAGTCAAGAGTGTATTTCTGTGTTAAGACTGTTTTCCCAATGCCAGCCACTCCGTTTGTCAGCACTGTTCTGATTGGCCCATCTCTTTCAGATGAAGTTTTAAAGATGTCTTCACATTTGATTGTCGTTTCTGTTGTGTCTGTTTTCTTAAATACTGCTTCAATTTGTCGGATCTCATGTTCATCATTGACTTTTCCAGTTCCCCCCTCTGTGATGTAGAGCTCTGTGTAGATCTCATTGAGGAGCGTTGGATTTCCAGCTTTAGCAACTCCCTCAAACAAAACCTGGAACTTCTTCTTCAGATTACATTTGACTTTCCGCTGGCAGTTCATTGTGTTAGTTTCTGAATTAAAAAACAAACAAACAAAAACAAAACATAAAACAAACCAGTAATAACACCAAGTGGAGTTTGCAGTAACAATGGCAAAAGTGATACAATCTAATTTTCAAAAGAGTTTAGACAGTGTGTAAAATCCAAATAAAAACAGAATCCAGTGATTTTAAATACATATTTGAGTACTGTATTTTTCAGGCGCACTTAAAATGCTTTAATTTTCTCAAAAATCGACAGTACGCCTTATAATCTGGTGAGATTTATGATGAATTCTGGTTGTACTTACTGACCTCAAACGATTTAATGTGGTACACAGCGCTCAAAAATCTGTCAAAAATGTTTTAGTATGACTTTGCTAAGCTACAAAGCCGCACCGCTTGATGGATTGTCAGAGCATTACGGCTGCTGTAGTCAGGAACCTCGCGGAGTAATCTGGCTCCTAAATTCCTTCCGCTTCAGGTCCCAAAGTTAAACGAACACTGCGGCATCACTGAGAGTTAAAAACTGTCTGAATTCTTTCATCTTTAATAAAATGATCAGCGTTGCTGCTTTACCAGGTGTAACAATTAAGTTTAACATTCAGGCATCCATGAAAACAGAAGTTATTAAATTTAACGGAGTTAGAAGTTAACAGGAAGTTAGCTCGCTAGCTTCCACCTAAGCATGATATAGCATGTTCTGACTGAGAGATTTCTGAAAAATTCAAACGTACAGCTCTGCTGTCACTTCCAACATAAATGAAGACAGGAAACTAAACAGCAGTGACGTTTGTAGGGTTACTGAAGTTGGACTAGCTGCTATATAATGATGTGCTACGTGACCGCTAGCGACACAGCTATGTTAGCATAAACATAAACGGTGAAGCTGCAGGATGAATGCTAACTTTTTTCCACTCAATAAAAGTTAATCTGAGGGTTCCCGATGGTTAGGGACAGGATGCTTTAAACGGACCAAACTTCAGTCAGGAGAACAACTGAGATAATCCATCCACAATACGAGGTTAGTCATTAATATACTGCAACTACATGGGAACAGAGCAGCTGCCTGAGAATTCAACATTAATGAATCAATGGTACAGAAGTGGAGGAAGCAAGAAGAATGAGTTGAGTAAAGTTTGACTTATCTGACTGTTTTGTTTTTCTTTGTTTGGTCTGAATAATACGGTACACATGTGTAATGGAGTAGTAATGGCTTCACTTTTTAGACCTGTATTACATCCATTATTTATATTTGTTCCATGATTTGTACACATGGCATGTAAAACCTTTACATCTGGGGATGCACCATAAAGATTTATATGAATGCTACTATCTAACCCATGTCTTTTTCATTGCTTAATTCAGCAAGCCAATACTCCTCCCTGCAGTGGCGCCATAGACCACACCCTGCCACAAACAGTCTCAGTAGTTGTTTGCTTTTTTTTCTGGATTTTTGGTTGACATTCTGTCTCTCTGTTAAAATGCAAAGTCAGCGCAGTCCACAAAGTTAGTATGTATAACTTTGTGTGTTTTTTCTGGATTTTTGATTGTGTATTACATTCTTTCTCTCCATGATTTTTACGGAAGTTTTAAGTGAGCAAATAAATTCAGTATACTTATAATCACACTGATATGCTGAGTTTTTGTTTTGTTATGTTGATGCTGGTAGCATCTCACTTCATGTTTATTCTCCTGTTCATTTTGAGTTTTTCCCCCATTGTGTCCAGTTCATAGGTTCAAGTCTACATCTCGGCATTAGCTTTTACTCTGTCAGTTACTTCCTGTTTTACTTTGATAATCTCTCATGTTGTGTGCTTTGTATTGTGTTTTCTCTCCCTTGTCTTATTCCTGATTTTTTCCCAGTGAATTCTCCCCAATAGTCACATTACCATGTGTATTTGCCCATTGTCCTCAGTGTTCTGTGGTCCCTAGTTCTGTGTTTCCTTAGAGTCTAATTTAGTGGTCCAGGCCTATCTTCTGTTTTTTGCACATATATTTTGAAAGACTTCAGTATTAAAACCTGTTTTGAGTTTATTTCCTTTTTTCATGAGTCCTGCATTGAGGTTCACTTCCTGCCCACCACACAGCAATTCATGACAGTATTATGGATCACTGTGGCATCAATAGATGTTATAGCTTTTGTCATTGTAATTATCATCATTTGTTTCTCAGTATTGTTAAGATGTCTTACTGCTCTGGATGGACTCAGCTAGTTCGTTGTGATTCATTCTCCTCAGGAACTGCAGTGTGATCTTAAGAAAAGCCGTTCTCCTGATCCGGATCTGCTTTTCTTCACCAACATCTCCCACCTCGTGCTTCTTCTGAGTCTCTAAATAGTCAGAGTTTCCTTGACTCAAAACACTCTGAATCATCTGCAGTTCATTCTTCACAAATGCTATAATGTCCTCCTGAAGTAACTGTAACAGAACAGACAGAACCACAATCAGGCAATGTTGTAGGAGTTGACAACACTACTCTTAATAGCACTGCAAGGATCATCAAAACAGATAAATTTTCAATGATTTTAACGATGGTGAAAAATGTTCTACAATCACATACTGCAAATATGGAGTCCAAGTCTTGAGGATTGTTATGGATAGATGGAAAACTGGCAGACTCTGTTTTGTCCCCATGATCTCTGCAGAGAAATAAAACTATGCATAATGTGTCATAGTTTACATGCAGTACCTACAGGTAGTTAATAGTAAATAATGCTTATCTATAGCAGAAAGATTTGTACAGTAGTTTAACTAACACAGTTGTGATCTCATGACCACCTGCAGTTGTGAGCAGCTGTCACAAAACAGACTGAGCGCAACACATTCACATCTAAAAATGGCCAACTTTACAGCGTAAATAAATCAAAGGCAGAGAACACAATGACATGTCTCACTTCAATGTAGGTTAATCATGCTAACAGAAAGACACCCCCCCCCCCCTTCTCAGTTAGTGAAGCCTTACGACTTTTTTGAGGAAGACTGTCCATCTTGAAATGTAAGTGGTTCATACTTTGAGCAAGTACTCTTACAGGATGCAGAGCTGGGTTCAGGGGACCTAGGATTCTCCTGATCTCTGCTGAGATACAATAAATGGGGATCAGAAACAACAACAACAACAACAACAACAACAACTTAAACAGTGCAAAGTTTGACACTGAAATGTGAGCAACATCTCACGTCTTTTTGGAAGGAGATTGTCCATCTTGAAATGTAAGTGGTTCATACTTTGAGCAAGTACTCTTACAGGATGCAGAGCTGGGTTCAGGGGACCTAGGATTCTCCTGATCTCTGCTGAGATACAATAAATGGGGATCAGAAACAACAACAACAACAACAACAACAACAACTTAAACAGTGCAAAGTTTGACACTGAAATGTGAGCAACATCTCACGTCTTTTTGGAAGGAGATTGTCCATCTTGAAATGTAAGTGGTTCATACTTTGAGCAAGTACTCTTACAGGATGCAGAGCTGGGTTCAGGGGACTTTAATGTTTTGTGGTGACTGTCGAGAGGAAAAAAAAAAGAAAAGAAAAAAAAGCATCAGAATGCTAATGTCTGCCAGAGAAACACATTGTAGTCGTGAGCACGACCCACATGTACACATTCAGAGGCAGGCAGATGTAATTTGAAAATGTTTTTTGATTGCTAGTGATGTTACACCTGACATTGAAACCCCCAGGCCTGTAAGGCAAGGCAAGGCAAAATTATTTGTATAGCACAATTCAACAACAAGGTGATTCAAAGTGCTTTACAGAGACATTAGAAACAAAAACAAATAAAAAGCATGATTTAAAATTGATTAAAACAAGCAAACAAACTAACTAACTAAACACACACATTTCACACCTGTTCGCGCGATCTGAACCCTTATCGTAAGGGGAGCTACCAGTCCTTCTGTGGACGAGCTACTTTCTATTTTAAATTCCCTGAATTTAAAATACTCTCTAGACCCAGCTGGGGAGCTACCCAGAGCTCTAACCACTTAACAAACAAACAAACAAACAAAACAGTATATAAAATCAAAACAGATAAAATCAGAACAGTAGATAAAATCAGTAGTTAATGTAAGTTTTGAAATTTAAGCTTAAAAGTGTGGATTTGGTGCTTTATTCAAATGCAGCTGAGAACAGGTGAGTCTTCAACCTGGATTTAAATAAACTGAGTGTTTCAGCTGATCTGAGGCTTTCTGGGAGTTTGTTCCAGATATAAGGAGCATAAAAGCTGAATGCAGCTTCTCCGTGTCTGGTTCTGACTCTGGGAACTGATAAAAGACCGGATCCAGATGACCTGAGGGATCTGGAAGGTTCATACTGGGTCAGGAGGTCACTGATGTATTTTGGTCCTAAACCATTCAGAGCTTTATAGGCCAGCATCAGAACTTTAAAGTCTATCCTCTGACGGACAGGCAGCCAGTGTAAAGACCTCAGAGCTGGACTGATGTGGTCCACTTTTTTGGTCTTAGTGAGGACTCGAGCAGCAGAGTTCTGAATGAGCTGTAGTTGTCTGACTGATTTTTTAGGTAGACCTGTAAAGATGCTGTTACAGTAATCAAGCCTACTAAAGATGAATGCATGGACTAGTTTTTCCAGGTCTTGTTGAGACATCAGATCTTTTATCCTTGATATATTCTTGAGGTGATAGTAAGCTGACTTTGTTATTGTCTTAATGTGTTTTTCTAAGTTTAGGTCTGCATCCATCACTACACCCAAATTTCTCGCCTGGTTTGTGGTTTTTAGATGTATAGATTGAAGTTCTCTGGTGACCTGTAATCGTTTTTCTTTGGCGCCAAAGACTATTACCTCAGTTTTGTTTTTGTTTAGCTGGAGAAAATTGTGGCACAACCAGTCATTAATTTCCTCAATGCATTTACCAAGAGCCTGTACAGGGCCTCGGTCTCCTGGTGACATTGTGATATATATTTGTGTGTCATCTGCATAGCTGTGGTAGTTTATTTTGTTGTTCTTTATAATCTGTGCCAGTGGGAGCATGTAAATGTTAAACAGAAGGGGTCCCAAGATGGAACCTTGGGGAACTCCACATGTGATACTTGTCTGCTCAGATGTGAAGTTACCTATTGATACAAAGTATTTCCTGTTTTCTAAGTATGTTTTGAACCAGTTTAGTACAGTTCCTGAGAGACCTGTATCAAGCAAATGGGGTGTGTCCAAATGATGCCTTTGTCGAGGCCCATATTGTTCTTCAGGCCCCTGCAGAACATCAGGGGGCACAGAGCATCTCCTTGGTAGATCCCGCACTTGATGCTGACTAATGCTATTGGCTTGAAGTTGACCTTTAGTGTTGTTCACCACATCCCCATGAGTTCATGATGAATATTTACATATATATGAAAAAGCAAACAAACAAAACCCCCAACAAACAAGTGGCCAGCGTAGAATACAGGAACATCTGGGCCGAGTATGGACGGGAAGTCCTGAGATCAACATGGGAGACTCCTACTAGGGTGGTGCAGAATAACTGACCAAAGATCTTTTGGGACTTCAAGATACAGATGGGCAAAATGGTGGCGGCTTACCAACCGGACATAGTGGTGGTAGACAACCAAAAGCAGACGGCTGTAATGATAACTGTAGTTAATAACTGTACCAAATGACAGCAACATCAGGAAGAAGGAACAGGACCCTCAAGCTCCCAGGCCTCTGGTAGAGGACACAAGCTTGGAGCATGAAGACTGAAACCCTTATATGATAAATATACATACAAAGCATTGTTATATAGATATATATGTTTTAGGAACATGTAGGTTCAGTTTAACAAGTCATCACTTGTTTGGATTGAGCTAGCATATGGGAAACCAGTAAAACCAGACTTGACTAATGTAGCCTCAAAAGAACCACTTTCAATTCTTTAATCTAAGTCCTTAATTTTCATCTACTTTTGACCATCCTTAGGATGACTCTTTGTACACCACTTAAATTAAAACCATGCATTTTCTTTTTTTTTTTTGGAGTTTAATGTGTTCAATTTCATAACAACTCAGATCATGAGCTTCATCAGTACATGAGAAATGTGTTTAAGGGAATGAAAGCACGATATAAACATGGGATTACCTTTTCTTGTTAGAGGATGCACCTAAGAGCGAAAAGAAAAAACTAAATTAGCACTCAGGTTGAAGATTATTTTAATTATTCATTTTATTATTAAAAGTCCTCAAAAAACAAAACAAAAAAACAACCAATAAATATGAAAAAGAAAATAATAGGACTTACTGGAGTTATTCATTTTTGGATCCATCAGATCATCTGCATACTGCACTTCTAAGGAAACTTATCTGAGTGGGATAGTTGCAAAAGTAGTACATTAGATTCAAACAGCATTAGAAACGCTACTTATGCCCTTTGAGTTCTAACACCTTGTCAAACCAGTCCAGCAAGAGCAAGTAGAAACAGAATTGTTGAGTAGTGTCAAATGTTAACGGAAATGTAGTAAAAGGAGAAGCTTGCAGGGTGCATAATTATAAGAGCTTTAAAGAAGTCTCAAGACAAAAATGAATAATTTAGAAGCTCCTGGACAAGAAAAATAAACGACAAGGGCTAAAACCCAAATTCAGTTCAGCACAAAGGTGGCATGACAAAGAAAAAGTGAAAAATAAGTAAGACTTGCACAACGTAAATGTTATTTACAAGTGGACACAATAACAATAACCAAAACTGAATACAATTTTAAATTTGAAGAAGTTTATCACAATAAAAAAAACAAAAAAAACAAACCTTTTTTTTTTTAAGTTTAGGAACTTGACTACAATTTCACTAACATGTTTTATAAAACACATAGTTGATTAGTTACACTGCAAACTCCTGTTTTAAAATGTACATGTACTATACCTGTCATGTTTGAGGTTTTCTGACTGAAAACACAGACTCAGAATCCAAGTTCAGTGCGTTTTTAGAACATCAAGTTGCCAGCGATAGCAGAACATTCAAGCCGTCTGATCCATAACTCCTCAGTTACGACACTCCGCCAGTTCAGCAGATCCTTAATCCTCCTTTTTACCCCAGGTCTAGATATCGGCACAGAAAAAAGCAGAAGGTAAGCAGACAAACATTTCCATACTCCAGATGAACAGAATCAACTTTTTGGGATTTCCTTACCTGGATGATTGAGCGTGCATCAAGACATTTCCATACTGAGACACCAATCTCACTAACAGGTCTTTATTAACAGTCTGGCATCAAATGGACGTCTTCCTCAAGCCTCAGTAGGGAGTGGCAGATCACAAGTTCAGAAACAGGTGGGGTAATCACCTCAGGTACCCAGGTGTGCCCAGTCTGGCTGGAGTAGGCAGAAGATCCACCTCTAAAACACAGGGTGTGGTTAGTGCACCCACACAGCACAGACAGATAGAAAAAGAAAGAAAAACCAGAGGGAGAGGGGACAGGGGACATCCAGGAGGACCATGACAACACAACTCTTTTGTTTCTGTTATTTTGCTTGAGTAGCATACTGTCACACTGAGATTTGAATTTGAATGCTAATCAATAAAATCAAATCAAATCATGGTCCCTGTGTCTGCCCAGTCGGCCCAGTCAGGCTACATGTGTTTGTTCTGGTTTCTCTCGCTCTCTCTCCTTCCTGCTTGCAACGGTTTGCCTGGGTGGAGTTCATCATGGGCTCCTGCTTTCGGTCCTCACACCTGCAAGTAATGACTCACCTGTGATTCATCAACCTGTCTGTCTGCCACTTCTTAAGGCAGTGGCTATGAGACCTTCGTCGCTGGACTATTGTGTCACACTCCTTAGTGTAATTCTGGCCTTTCCAACATTTCGAGTTCTATTCATGGTTTCTTAGTATTAAATACCTTGACCCTGTATATAGATTCTCCTTGCCCCGTCTTGAGACCCTGTTTCAGAACCTGTACGTGAGTGTGGCAGTTTAAGTGTGGCATGTAGAAGGAGGAGGATTTCCATGTGGAGTGAGTGGACCGGCAGTGGACCCCTGGGATCCCTGGACCCCCTTTTCCCCACTTGTACATGGTGCACTTGGAGTTGTGTTAATAAGGAACTGTTTATTGTGATTCGCAGTCTGTGCGTGAGTCTATCCTGCTCCGTCGTGACAGATTCATATTCAAAATAATGACTCTGAAATTTCTTATAGTCCAGTTATTCCTTCAAAAGAAATCAAAACAAGATTCTGTCCTGTGATACAGTGATCCAGACTCTTGAGTCAGGATCTGTTCGACAAGAGTTTATAGACAGACCTGTACAGCGTCCGTATCACTGCAGACGCTGCACCAATCCATCTTCTTCCCTTACTTGTGAAGAAAACCCAGAGATACTTAAACTCCTCCACTTGGGGAGGAGATTCCAGGTCCCTGACCTGGAGTGGGCACTTCACCCTTTTTTCTGCTGAAGACCATGGCCTCAGATTTGGAGGTGCTGATTGTCATTCCCGCTGCTTCACACTGGCGTGAGAATTACTCCGGTGTGAACTGGAGGCCACCACCTGATAAAGCCAACAGAACCATATTATCTGCGAAAAGCAGAGATGAAATTCTCAGGCAGTCCCAGTGGAAACCTCCCACCACCTGGCTATTCCTTGAAATTCTGTACAAATAATCTGAATCAGTGACAAAGAACAGATTTGGCAGAGTCCAAACCCCACTGGAAATGAGTATGACCTATTACCGGCTATGCGGACCAAGCTCTTGCAAAAGTTGTATAAGGATCAAATGGCTCCCATCAGTGTGCCAGACACCCGAATACTCTCGAAGAACCTTCCACAGAACACTCAGAGGGACACAGTTGAATACCTTTTCCAAGTACACGAAACACGTGTAGACTGGCTGGGCAAACTCCCATGCACCCTCAAGTATCCTCAAGAGCGTGAAGAGCAGGGCCAGCGTTCCACGACCAGGATGAAAACCACATTGTTCCTCCGGTATCCAACATTCGACTAATGAACGAACTCTGGCCGAGCAGTGTGATTCCCCCCTATAGTTGGAGCATGCTCTCGGGTCCCCGCTTCTTGAAGATGGAAAACACCACCCCGGTCAAGAGGTTCCACCCTGATCTACATGCAACATTGTAGAGGTGTGTCAACCAACCTGAGTCGCCTGATGGTTTGTGAGAATCCCCTGGCAGCTGCCCAGCACACACTGCACCCGACCCTTAGAGTGCTTCCTGCTGGTGATGGGCCTACAGGAGTCTGGGCTAATGTCCATTTATTGGACTGTGTCTGGGCGGGCCCCGTGGACTAAGACCCAGCTGCCAGACGTTCGCCCCCAGGACCCCTCCCCGGACCTGGCTCCAGGGTGGTAACCCTATCCTGGGCTGGGTAAACTGTTCCCTTCACTCCTAGGACTTTTTGAATGTTTTTGTCTGGTTGCTAACCCAGGACCCAGGTATGACTACTGTACTTAAGTAGAATTTTCAGCTATCTGTATTGTACTTGAATAGTTTTTTTTGTTTGTTTTTTTGTTTTTACTAAACCCAAGTGACAAAAAAACAAAGTGGACTAATGCTAAATTTCAAAATCTCAGTTTGAGAGTGATGTTGTATGCTTTTGTTTGAATGAAGTCAATTTTATTTTATTTAACCTTTCTTTATACAGGTAGAGACCTGTTTCAGACAAACAGGTTAAATAAGACAATTGTCAGATTTGGTGTATATGTTGGAACGCTCCATTTGAAAATTGGAACTTTGAATACACTATATTGAAAAAAGAGCAAAGCTACAACAAAGCTTTCAAAGACAAATCCCTTTAAACTTATTGAACTATGATAAAGAGATATTTATGGCTCTTCTATTTGTTCCTTCATATAAGTGTTAGGGATATTCCAAGTTTTGACCTACCAGCGTCCTCACTGTGGAGAGAACCTAAATTGCTCATCCAAATGAGTGAAGAGGGTAGCAAATTTGGTTTTTAGCAATATCAGAAAAGCTATCAGACATGACTGGTTTTATTAGAGGTCCAAAACAAGAATTTTGACAGTTAAAGGCTTCTTTCAACACATTTGCCTGAACAAAAATTTGCAAAAAAAAAAAAAAAAAAAACGAAGGGGAAGAAGAATTCCAGATTGCTTTTGGTTCAATTCTGCAGACTTCCTCCCAAAAAGTCCATTTTGCTATTTGGTCATATCACTAAATAAAGGTTAACTTCTCTTTGTCTTGATGCTCAGTCATCCAGGTAAGCAGATCTCCAAATGGTTGATTCTGTTCATCTGGAAGTAGCGTTTTCAGTGGGAGAAGCGTTTCATCACTCATCCAGGTGACTTCTTCAGTCTCAGCTGACTGCAGGTTTCAATCTTATAAACAGTACATTTGCATAATGACTGAAACCAGCCCACTGAAGGAACTTCTCTTTGCTTTTACCAGCCAATGTGATTTACCTAACAGTTACTCCTGCCATTTTTCATCAGTTCTGAATTCTTCATCATCTCCTTCCTTTAAATTTGTAAGATTTTGCTTCATTTTAATGTCTGTCACTACATTGTATCAAAAAGGGGGAAAAATTAAAAAACCTCAGAATAACACCCTGTGTTAATTTATTAACTTTTAGCTAACAGTGCCACAGAGAGAGAACTGATTTGCTGATATGTCTCTGATATGCTTGGAAAACAGAGAAATCTAAAGAAAATTTGAATATTTACTGTGACACAAATAATACTGGTAGCAGTCCACAGTGACAAAAGCAGAGCTACTTTATGGAGGTTGTTTCTGGGCTTTCAGACTGAGCCTTCAATCTGCCCATTCACATGTCAAGATGATTGACAGGACTCAAACGCGGGTCTCTGAATGTTCACAATAAAGGTGAGTTTATTTAAGTGACACCAGCTGCTATATACAATGGTGAAGGGAACAGGAGCTCCATAGAATCCAGAGAAGGCAAACACGCCCAAACTCCTGTCTTCACAAAGCCAGTCACTTACATGACCAAACTTGCACTCCACGCTGACGCTCACTCATGAATACACTCGCTCAACAGGGTCCAAGGGAAACAGGGAGGGACCAAGGAAGGTCTGCACCAGGGAGAAGAGAAACTGTGACAGCTGGGGCTACACGTGCCAGCGATGATCACAACTCAGCCGCCGTAGTGACCAGTCTGATGGGGATGATGAGCAGCAGGTCAGTTGATTACCAGCAGGTGCGTTGGCCGAAGGTGGAAATCTGCAATGCAACACCACCCAGGCGGAAAGGAGTGAGGATGGGAGGGAGAGAGGGACACACAATAACAAGCACTGACAGGAACCCAGGGAGAATTAGAGGACCATGACATCACATTTCAAAATCAAACAACTACAGTGGGAGACCTCCATATCTGGCAGGAAATTACCCCCATATTATAATAATAGTAAAATCTTTAATAGAAAAAATACATTAAAAAATTAAAAAGCTAAATAGAAAAAGTCAGCTGACTGCTTTCAAGGCATAGAGTTGATGCAGTTTTTTAATGCATCATTATAATAAATTCATTACTATTTGAAGTAAAGAAAAATGTAAATGTAACATTTCAAAACATACAGCAACCAAAACTGAACCAATTTGTAAGTGCAAGAACCTGTGAGCAACTAAAGACACGTGTTGGGATTGTCGCATAATTAGCACCACATATTTGTGTTTTGTCTTTTACTGCACACAGGATTCACTCTGATGCTAACAGACATGAGCAGAGAGAAGCATTCCTCTCTGTGGAATATAGCTAAGGTGATAAATCAGTTGTTAGGCGATGGTATGCACCATACACTCCTTTATGCAGATCTTACTGGAGGGTAGGAGGTGGTTGCCATGGTGATGGGTGAAGCAGTGACTCCAAATAAGGAGATGCCCAGAAAGTTGCAGAAGGAGAAACATGAGCCAAGATCAGACCTAAGGGCACCTTAATCTGTTTTAGTATCCTGTTTATCACCCATAATAAAAAGTGTTACTGCCTGGTCGTGGCAGTCGTTTGTCTCTGAGAGAGGAGGTCCAGAGCATTTGACTTTTACTCCATTGTCTCTTCCCAGAGTCTATTTTTTGTTTGTTTATTTGATTCCTGTCTGGCAATAGTCCAACAAATGGTCTCTACATTGGTTAAACTTAAAATGATTTTTATTTTCCATTTCATGAGGACAGTCTTCTTAGCAATGGATAAGGCAGCGAGCCATGTGGACTGTAATCATCTCCACAGTGACATCATCTAAATGACCCGAAAAGCAAACTGAAGGGGAGGCTGGAATGTTACATTTCAAAAAACTTTGATAAGTCTTCGCATATCCAGCACCAGAACCTACAAGCATGGATGTCATTTTTAGGTGTATTGCCTTTACAGTGCGAACAGTTGTTAGAAGACGTAAAACCCATCCTGAACATCCATTGATCTGTATAGTGCACTCTATGTATTATTTTATTAACTGTACCCAGGGATGTAAAAGAATTTGTACCACACTTGATGGCGTTTGATTAGGCTTTAATTTCTTTTTTACTATAGACTGAATTTGTTGATATTCTAAAAATCTATTCTTGTTAATCATGTATTGTATAACTAATCTGTCAAATGGAATAAAGTCTGTTCCTTCGAATATATCTTCCAAGTATTTAAGTCCTTTACGACTCCAGACTGTGAAGTTAATCATATTATTGTTCTGTAGTATGTCAGGGTTGTTCCAGATGGGTGCACGTTTGCTTGGGATCAATGAAGACACCATGCTGTCAGAGAGCAGCTGATGTTGATGCTTTTGCATACATCGTATTTGATGTTTGAGCTAATGAATGGTAGGTCTGAGGTCTCTATTTATATTGCATAGTGCCTGTTCTGTGTCTAGCTAGGGTTCATCTAAGTGGCTGTGATTTAGGCAACCTGGGATGAATTGTAGCCTGTTGGCTAAGAAGTAGTGTTGGAAGTTAGGTAGATCTTGTCCTCCTTTATTCTTGGCCCTTTGTAGCGTTTTAAGCTAATACGCAGGGGTTAACTCTCCAAAGGAATCCAGAAATCTAAACCAGTTCACAAAGAAGCCATCTATGTCCACTGTGAACGACCATCTTTGAACGGAGGGCGGGGCTTACGACGCTAACTGTCTGTCATTTATAATCCAGTTTTGAGATCCTTCCCAGACGCCTTAACACCCACTCACATCCTGGGGCCATTTGACCTCAGCAAGCTCTCACAATGGGTTCACCCAAAACCTCTGATAGTGACCACACCTGTTTTCACACTTGGTTGATGTGATGAGGCACATGATCAATAGTGGGTCAATGAAACCTCTTAGGAACACTCCCAATAGGATCTACAACACAAACAAACAAATTTTATTTTAACTGGTAGAGCTTTATGGTAGGGGTTCAGCCTGAAGAAACACACCTACCAGATGTGATACGCATCTGGGCAGTAAGCACTGGGACTCTACAGTGCCAGCAGCTGAAAAGACAGTAGAAAGAAAAGTTTAGAAAAATAAAACTAAAAAACAGAGAAAGTGAGATAAAAATAAAGAACAAAAACCAAATACAGAGGTAAATCCCCTGGTGAAGCACCTGATTAGAAACATAATTAGAAAATAAATCTAAAATTAAAAGTTTGACCTGATGGTGGCGCTAGAGTTTCATTATCAAGGGGCCATTTATGTATTCAATAAATAACCAAAGTGCCTGACACAAACACTTGCTCATCAGCCATATGCAAACCATTTCCTTGAGGCAAATATCTCTTGGTGGTAAAACGTGTTAGTAATATTTGATGAGAATATGAGGGTTAATGTCGCAATCGAAGGTCAGACTCACTCTTTCTTCTGATTGGTGCCAACCCTAAAAGGCCCTCCTTCCTAGCGCCCCACGTGGCTTTCCACTCCTCTGATTGGGGCGTCTGCCTGCCCCTCACAGGGCCTCGGCCAATCGGGTGCTTTTGTCCTTCTTACTCGCGTCATTTGCGTTAGCTGTAGTGCTACTTTCCAACATGTCGGCTGTGTGTGTGCTCCCCATGTGTCTGCGGGCGAGCCGGGGCCTCCTCCGGCTCAGGAGCGCGGCGGCGGGTGCCTCCGCCCCAGCCATGGTGGACGTCATCCGGACACTGTCCACGGACAAGCCGCCGGCCGCAGCGGGCAGTGCGACGGGCGGGTTAGCTCAGGCGATCCTCCAGGAGAGACTCCAGCAGCAACAGCAGCCGACTCAGGTGCGCTTCATTTTACAACCTTAACAGCACTCAGTGGCGTCGACGGGGGTAACTGTATTAAGTAGTAGGTCCGACCGTGAAACCCCGCCTTCACGAGCTGCCCTGGTGATGTAAATCAACTCATGAACGAACATTTCCAACCTTAGCTCAGACTGACAGCTAGCTTACATAAAGTTATTTTCTTGACCCACGCGGGCCCGGACGGACTAAACTGTGTGTTTTGTGGTGTTTGTCGCGACACACGTCATCTTCAGAAATGTGACGTTATGACAGCATCACCCCACGCGGGCTCAGCTGTCTGCTGAATGAATGAACCTGGCATCACCTAGCTAGCCAGCATGCTAATGTTAGCATGCGTTTATCTAGTCTGGCTGTAGCAACACCGCTTACCTGAGCCCGGCTCACGTGAGTGTCCTCACAGTGTGTGTGTTCCTCTGAACAGTAACCCTAGGGTTAGGGTTAACCCTAACTGTGTGACAGTGAGTGCAGCTGGCACTGCTGTGGTTACCTGCCCTTCACCCGCAGCTGTGTGTGTGTTTGTCAGTGCCACAGCTTGATTTTATCTGCGGGATAAATCGCGTTAACAGCCGAGGTTTGACCCCCACCCTCCTCCCCGTGCAGCTCAGTGTGGTGTCTGGTCATGGAGGAAGCCACCCACCACGTGACTCCTAACAGTGTGTTTCCCACAGACTCCAAAAATAAAAGTGTGACATCTACAGACGAACTGTAATAAGGGTTTTAGTTAAAGACTAAATAATTGCCACTCCACTTCTTCCCAGCAGCAGATACAGAAAGTGCTGAAATCTGTTAAAATCCATGAATTTAATTGGACATGAAGGAAATCAACAGCCTTCCATGAGACCATGTTGGTTTCTGTCAGTCTGGGTTGTTTTAAATGCTGTATAACATTTGCACACATCCACACATCCATGCCTTTTCAGTTAGTTTGGCATGCTCCTGATGATGGACGGTGTTTTGGGGGTGATCTCCTCCCAGACATGGATCAGTGCATCTGTGCGTGCTGCAGTCTGCAGTTCTGTTTGGCAGCATCAGGTGCATGAACCTCCCTGAGGTTCTCCTTGGGTTCAAGTCTGGGGAGCATCAGAGTCGTCATCTTTCAGACACTGACTACACACTGCGGCTACACAAGGGCCTACTGCAGCAGCATCAGGTCTTTATCCAGCTAAACCAGTCATGCTGGATGAGCCTGAAGGTATCATAACGTTCGTCTCCAGACTCTCATCTGTCTCCAGTGCTCAGTGTGAACCTGCTCTCATCCACCAGAGCTGGACTGTTGGTTGTTGTCCTCTGCTGCACTGTGCTGTGAGCACGGGCCCTGCTGCACGCGGTCTGATTCTGACAGTCAGCTCAGAAACATGCACGAGGAGCACGATGGAGGCTGTTATGCAGCACTCATGCAGCACTCCTCTACTGCCCTGCACGGCTCTCCTCCACACTCTGTCGACTGTGCCAGCATACACACCAAACCACCTCCTGTCAGTTTTTATTGTTTCTGTAAATTCTGTTTTTGGGAATAAAGTTTTTTGGGTTGTTTTCTTTTTTCTTTTTTTTTGCTTGTTTGTTTAAAAGAGACACAAAAACGTTTCCTTGTGTTAAACTGAATGAAGCTGACGTCTCTAACGCTTTCCTCTCAGTTCAGACTGAAGGTGAGCGCATCAGTGCTGCACATTTCATTAATGCTAGTTCATAGTCAAACAGAAACGCTTGTTTTTGTTTAAGGGTCAGCCTCCTCCAGAGGGAGGGGAGGGCGAGAGGGAGGGCGAGAAGGCAGAGGACAGGAAGCAGAAGGAGAACACGGCCTACGCCAAGAAGATGGTGCTACGGTTGGCCGGATTCATGGGAGTCGGCGGCGCGGTCGCCATCGTTTATATATTCGGTGAGTCTTTAAGCTTCGTCCTGTGCACTCAGAGGGAGAGACTTTGCTGCCTCTCCTGAAACGGCGTCCTCACTTAGTCAGTTTCAGCCGGTTTGCTTCACAGGTGGAAACACGGTCACTGTCAGCCAATCAGCTTGCTCAGCAGCACGTCTCTTATGTTCAAATCCTGTTCAACCTCTTTCTGTAGGGGTGATGTGACAAAGGATCAGCTGAAAATAAATTTCAGTAGACACAAAGCTGTTTCTACCTGGTTTCTATCCAGAAACTTGACAAACATTCAAGAGCTGCAGAGTTTAAATGTGTTAGATCAGGGGTGGGAAACTCCGGGCCTCGAGGGCCGGCGTCCTGCAGGTTTTAGATCTGCAGGACGCCTAATCACATGATTAGTTCATTACCCGGCCTCTGGAGAACGTTACATGTTGAGGAGGTCATTTAGCCATTTCAGTCAGCTGTGATGGATCAAGGACACATCTAAAACCTGCAGGACACCGGCCCTCGAGGCCTGGAGTTCCCCACCCCTGGAATAAAGTCAAGAATAAGCCTGTAATCCAGATGTTTCCCACTGGATCTGATTGATCATGTCAAACCTTCCATGTAAAGAAAAGAAGAGATTTGTTTGAGGACAAACAGAAATTCTTGAAAAGGTTTGAGGAGCGTTTTTTTAAACTAATAGTTGACAGAGTCTAGTGTGGTGTGGCATTTTCAAAGGAAGAGAGGGTTTTTATTGTTTCCTTCATGCGAGTGTGCTGTGAGGGTTTATGCATGCTCTGTATTTTTCTCTTTAGAATTTAATGAGGGTTTTGTTGGAATAAATGTGCCACAGCTACCCTGGGGGTCACTAATATTAAACTCCTGGAAAGATCACCGTGGGCTTTTCGGCCGGGCGCTTTTATACACACCCCTGTTTGAAAACATGAACCCAGCACGTGGTTGTTGGTCACGGATGAAACATGGATCAGATGTTTGGTTCTGCTGCTGGGTTTAAACACGTCAGTTTCAGGCGTTTCAAACAGGAGATGCAGCTTTATTCTTTGAGCCATCTTCAAAAGAACAAAAGAACAGGTATAATCTGTATTTCTGGCCGCGCTGGGCCTCTGAACTTCCTCTGATGGAAAGGTGGGTGTGATTGGTGTTTTCACACTTGGCTCCCTGATTGCAGGGACAGGTGGGTGGAGCTAGCAGCCTGTCCTTCAGAGGAGAGTCAGACTGAGGATGGTGAAGGGCGTTGTTGACAGGTTTGTCGAGTAGAAAAATGGACCCAGAATGATCCGTTTAAGGAGGAGGAGAGGATGGAAATGTAATCTTTGATTTGTGGAGTCGGACTCGGGTGAGGACAGGATGAAGGATTTCTTTGGGGAGTCGTCCTCTTCAGAACCAAGTCGTTCATGAAGTTATTGGAGATTTTTGATTTGCTTTTTGTCTGCGTGTTTTGAAGACCGTGGCAGACTCTGTGACCTCGGTCTTCACAGGAATGGGATTTTATGTCTTTAATTCCACGCTTTCGATCGTATTTTGGATCCTTTTGAAGTTCGTTCCTCCTGGAGATTTTCCACCTTTTCCACTTTGACTTTCTCCTTTAGTTGTGAAATATTTGTGCTGCACTGTGAGAATGCCAGAAAGGATTTTCTGGTACATCTTTTCTGTGGCTCATACCTGGAGATGTTCAGGATTATAACCTGCTGTTTCTCCGTGTGATTCTTTGTGCTTTGTAGCTTTCGGCTCAGGGCGGCTGCACCGAAGGTTTAAATGAACATAAATATGTAAAGACTGATTGGTTGGTTGAAAGGAGGTTATTACAGTGATCAGACTCGTGTAAGAGCTGCTGAGTTAATAATAATCAGCATCGTAGTTAGTGATGTGTGTGATGCCATCACAGCACTTTAACACCTGCACCTCCTCCAGCTGCTCGTGCAAGTCATTTTTCTGGTTGTGGTAACCTGGTGCAGTGTGCAGGTTAGCACTGTGCTGAAGCCACGACTGTAACGACGTGTCGGTACAGAAGCTCAGAGACACGGCGGGAGACAGTTTGAAAACTTCTGGTTCTGACTTGTTCTCTTCCTGTGTCAGGGCTGAGGTGGCGCTGTGTGATATTACCAGCAGCACGTGAAGCCACCACAGCCTCTGACGGTGTGCTAGCACCTGAGGGCCCAGGCCTCACTGCGGTCTTGACTCAGAAACGACCTCGGTGTCGGTGCAGACAAAGGAGAAGACGCAGCTGAAACAGGAAACACGACACCGCTGAGTTTCATCTTTTCAGGCCTACAGAAATCAGAGAGCCCAAACCACAGCTGCTCGCTTCTGATGAGTATAAACCTGACCTTTAACCTGCAGGGCACCTACCTGGAAATGTAATAAATGAAGCTTGTAAATGTGTGTAACAGCGACTCCACGGTGTAGTGGTTTAACCATTTCTAACAAGCGAACATCCTGGGAGGAGATGAGATGTTGCTGTTGGTGCTTGTTGGTTATTGGATGGTTTGGTTGTTTTTTTCGTCTCATTTATTTTTAAAACATGAGAAAATGTTTTTGCTCGACCACAACCAGTGATGTCTGTTTACTCACGCGTGTTTTCAAATATTGATTTCTCTGTGTTTGCTAATATTTCTGCTGGAAGCTTCAAGCATTCTTGTGAAGTGTGCGTGTCACCTGCCTCAAATCTAGTAAATAACCTGAACAGGTGATACACTGTGGGTTCTCTCCAGGTACTCCGGCTTCCTCCCACAGTCCAAACACATGCAGTTAGCGGGGACAGGTTAACTGGTAACTCTAAAGCAGGGGTCCCCAATCCCAGTCCACAAGGGCCGGTGTCCTGCAGGTTTTAG